GATCCGACAAAGGTCACAACAACAAAGCTCTCTTACGACCATATCGGGCGGTAATTTAAAACACAATAGTCCAAAAGTGGCGATATTTCATGCGGTGGTCGGAATAGAAAAAAAAAAACCACGCTGTTTCGTGACAACTATTAAAAACGTACTTGCCTGTATGTTCGAGTGGAATTCCATTTGGGAATTTAAACTAATTTCATATTATTTACCCTGTAAGTCAGTTTTTATATCAACGGTATATAATAATCTTTTAAACATAATAATTTATTTAAAATGTTCGACAAAATTGCCAAAATCGCCCTTTCGCCGCAATATTACACCAAATTATAAAACCGGAAAAACGCGAAGTAAATTTTTCCTAATTTTAGATTCTGAGTGGAGCGAGGAATGTATTGGTTTTACAATGATGTTTATTTATTTTTTCTATGACCAACTTTTCTACCAGAAATCTTACTACAATTTATAATTTTGCAGTTGTTTTTTTGAAAGGAAATCTGACTGGAGTGGTATAATCATCAATAATTAATTTTTTTTTTTTATTAAGCTCCCATGGGCATTATTCTATTTTAAATTTTGCTGTTTATCTATAAGAACATTTGTCAAAGAAATAAATATTCTAATTATTATTTATTACACCTATTTATTACTTTGTAATAAAATTAAAATATTTAACTTAATACATAGCGTGCACAATTTTTATACTGTGAATTAATTATACTTCCTAGCATTGTAGTTAAAAGGCAGGGACTTTTAATTAAATTAAATCCTATGGGAGAAATGAAATATTAAAATATTTTATAATAACATTTTTTTCCGAAATTAATTGTAAACAATTAAAGATAATAGACATTTAATGATATACATATAATGTATGGAAGAGGGGGGGTATTGACGATCGATCCCTTTCACGGACATAAAAATACATCTCCTATACATTAGGTTGATATTAATTTTAGGGCATCAGACTTACTTTTTAATGGGGGACCCAAAATTCTAGTTGCGTCACTGACTAATTTTCCAAACGCTTGGATTTTAACATAGACTAAAAACTCACCCATTTTTATTAGTGTTTTACCGTCTTAAAAATATATACCACAATAAAATAATTGTCGATTGAATTAATGTCGAACGCATTTTTAATCGTCTTAAAAAGTATAATATATCGCTACAGTATACCTATAGGTGTATTGTGATTATAATTTTTTTTCCAATCTATTTATTAATTGTCGATATAATTTATTTTCTCGTCTCGCATACAGCATTATATTCTTTGCGTTTGCAATAGATAATTGCTATTAGTAGGTAGGTGCCCACTAATTATTATTTGTTAGCCGATCGTTTTATTACATTATTATACGCACATACAATCAATAAAAAAACCACTATGAGGCAACACAATAATGATAATGCTATATATACGCATATAATATACTTACGACAAAGGGCGGTGGGTTTCACTAATAATAATAATAATAATATAAATAAGGAAATCTGCCCCTCTCCGCGCACGACCTTGAGCTTGCAGGCTGGAGATTGTGGTATGAGTTTGTGTGTGAACGTAACAATAATAATAATAACAGAAAAAACGTATACATATTCATATATATATATGTATTTTTTAGATTCCGAGTGTAGCGAAGAATGTATTGGTTTTACTAAAATATTTATTTTTTTATCCTGTATACAAAAATTGTACCAGAAATTTTGCTCAGACACCATTTATGAAAGGAAATGTTGAAAAATCGGAAAAAAATGTCGAAAAAACGGAAAATGTACGAAATGTAGGAATTAGTAAAAATATATATATATATATTTATATATATAATACCCTACGATTTTTTTTTTCTGTCAACAACTTTTCTATCAACAATATTGCTCCGATTTACAATAAAAGCAATTTTTCTAAAGATAAATCTGATTGGGAAGGCACCATAGGAAGTCATTTTTCTATTTTGCCGAAGATTTTTCCCAGTAAATGTGAAAAACCCGAAAAAAACCTAGGATAAACGGTACAATATTAAACAAATATTATTAAAAAAAATACACAACGCCTACTTAATTAGGTATTTTACCATAATATGACATACATATTGTTTACAAAGCATCACTATCAACTGAACTGCGCTCAGAATCGTTTTTTCGTTAGCAACGATTTATCGTTGCTCTTACAGATGTACAATAAATAACCTAAAGTAGTAGCTGCACCCATCTCCATTATTCCAGGACGTCTTTTTTTTTTTATAGGGATCTACTTTTTATTGTATATTGGTATTTATAATTCGGTTTGATGTTTAGAAAATATAAATATAGTCCAATATAATTTATAACAGCTAGACATGTCAACGAAACAAACGTACCGATATTAATGGAAAATCGATAAACCTACTTGGATTAAAATCCGAGGGATAATAAACTACCCTGAGTTTCCGTTCGTCGTACGTCCTAATGGATTACCATAAAACGCCACGCAGGTGTTACGGAAAAGCGCGGATATTTTTCCCCACGTAATTTTGTTCATTGCAGTCGGGGTTTCATAAAGAAAAAACAGTTTTTTTTTAAACGTGCTTTTTATGATTAAAACATATTTTTAATTGAAAACAAATGTGTGTTTTAAACATTATTTCGCGTAATCATTTTATTATAATACTAGTTAATTATAATTAGAACTGTATTATAATTATTAAAGAACAAAATACAACAATTGAAAAAATGTTACTATTCTTTATCCCAATAGAACATGTTTATTTTGAGAATAAATAGGAACATTATAAATATCTTTGCTCTTCAGAAAACACTAAGTTATTTTAATTTTATTTAACCTTGGTGCAGTATTGAAATTGTATGATACAAATTATTATGTTAACAATTATAAGTTTCCTACGCACGACTAATAACACATTACTAATAAAAATATGAATATATTATTATGAATAAACACTAAATAACGTACGTTTCATAATACTTACTTTTTATTTTATTTTAATTATATTATAATCTGTTCTTATCGGCAAATATATTTAAAATATCATCACTGTTGATACATCGTTTTCTATGTACAGATATATCACTGAATCTATTCTAAATGCTTGTTCTTTGTAGGTATTTAGTTTCCCCATAGCCGAGAAACTTCTCTCACAAGTATCTGAACTGATAGAGAGAGAACGGAGCTGATTGACATCGCGGATGAGTTATGGAGGATAAACGATCGCGAGACACGGTCTGTAAGAATATATAGGCGGGATAAAAGAGTATACGGAAGCCGGGGAAAAGATGCGAGTTATTATAATGTGGTGGTCGAAGAAATGGTTATAATAATAAATAGGTATGTGTAGATGTTGATGTGACGTGAATAAGAATAGTGGTGGCCGGTAGAAGAAGTGGCTTTTATAGTATACATTTATTTGCGAAATATTTTGAATAATTGCGAGAATATATTATACTGCTTTGAAGGCGCCTTTATGGGACGGACGAATGGGTGAGGTGGGGGAGACAGCCCGTTAGAATTTTGTACACTGCGTCAACGGTCGTTTAGAAACGTATAAAACGTTATTGTGCAACTCGTTATCGCGTCGTATAAAATATAGTATACGTGCCTAATACTTATAATATAACCGAGGGTATCCGTTAATTTTTTTTTTCGTTTTAATCGGATCGCCATCGCCGATCAATGTCTTTTCGTACGACACGTCCGTAGCCTCCATCGGCCGATTTGCAGCGGCGGCGGCACAAACGGACAAAATACACCTTATTATAGTATGATAATGTGTTATTCGATTATTTCGCGTCTCGTATATTATAATATTATATATTACCTACCTACATATATATACATAGTTGCACAATACCTGTACTAATAATTGACACCGCTGACGGGCGATAAATAATTATTTGGAAAAAAAAAAAAATCATAATATTTAACACCCAGACACGCGCGCGTAACACACCTGCTGTTGTAGCATACGGATAACTCGCGACTCGCGACGGCCATGGCGTGTGCAATATATAATTTAACCGACGAAAATCAAATACCACACTAGAGCCCGGGAACTATTTTAATGTTATCTATGTTATCTAATGGTGCGAAGACGTATGCAATTGTATTGGATACGTGGTATTATTATTATTACACACTGTATAGAATTATTTTATATAAGGGTACGAACACATTATTTTTTTCTGCTAAATGGTTTACCTGTATTTCGTTAATAATTACCTCTAAATATCGGACACTCGATCGCCGTAATTTTGTCCGTTATTTAGAGATGTCCGCTATTCGGAGTGGAAGAAAATTCTCGAAAATAACTCGGACAAATGAATAACAATGTACAACAATTATATATGTAATATGTATACTAATGATATATGTATATTTGTATTATTTTAAAATACATATTAATTGTACACATTATTTAAAATTATGTTATTATTATGTATGTAAAAATATTAATGAAAATGTAAATAAAATATACTTTAAGATAAAAATTAATATTTATTGAAAAAATCAGCCAAAGACCTTGATTTATCATGAAATTACCATGGAAATGTCCGGTATTTAGAGGTTTTCTATATAAAAGTGATGAAAATGTTCCGTTCCCGAAAAATTGTCAGCTATTCAGAAGTGTCCGTTAAGGGAGGCTTCATTGTATAAATATAGATTCATATCGTACAACGTATAATAAAATATTTTCAATAGCTCATTGGTCAAACATATTATCCTAAATCGTGAATCTGATTCACACAATCTTATTTGATATGTTTAAATTATATTTTATGTTTGAAATAGTGTTTACAAAATACATTGTAATAAAATAAACAAGCCTGTTACAATTGTTTTCCTACTGTTTTGGTTACTTAAAACAAATACATTATCCGCAGTTGCTAAGGAGTTTCCTTATGTCATATCAAACTCTGAAATTAAATTGTTATTTTAGAGTATTTAATGTTCAGTTACGATTTTAATATGCGCAACAAATTATTATAACTACCTAACCTATACGATGGACAACGCGATAAAAAAGTGGGAAAAAAGTAAGCGATTGGATCGTATAAATCAGTTATCGGTTCCGAAACAAAGGCCAGATGTATCAATATTGGTGCGTACGTTGCCAGCACCAGTCTCAAAAGCGGCGCTAACTGGTAAAGTCTCGGGTCGTATAAGTTATTTAGCTAAACCTAAAAATACATTAGCCAACCCGGAAAACTTATATAAACCAATAATTACTCAGGCACATTTCTCATTGGCCAAAAAAAAATCAGGAGATGAGTATAATGTAAGTATGAGAATTTTAGATCTATCGAAACCAAAAAAATTACTTAGAAATGTCCACAAAAAATGTTTGAATACGGAACAATTAGAAACGATTTATTTTAGACCAGCAGTTACTAGGAATTTTAACGTAGACAATTTTAAAAAACAACAAGATTGGCTCAAAAGAAATGCAACTCCTAAAAAAATATTTCGACCACCGGTAGAACCAAAAAAATATTCAAAAATGCCAATAGATCAAGTCAACGAACTAATAAAACGCTTGTCAACGTTGCCGAAATTTAAACAAAAAATTCCCAAAAAAATGGAACGAAAGATTGGAAGCTTAACACAAACGATGTTAGAATCGGTTCAGCGATTGTCAGAACCACGAAAACTGACATCAGGAATGAGATTAAATATAGAATTTAATCCGTATAACATTCCATTACGCGTGTTAAACCACGTAGCGTCACAACGTACCGAGGAATTGGCTGCACCAAAGATTCATGAAAATAAAGGACTTTTAAACAACATTAAAGAAAATGCTTTTGAAATTTCGCAGGCTGCTTTAAACTACAAAGCTACTAAAAATATTATCAAGTTGGCAACACCACGTAAACGATAAAGTAAAATGTGATCTATCTACTTAATAATACATATATTAATGAGCTTGGGTATCCTACAAAGATATATTAATTGAGATAAAATTGTATCGAATTTTTTTTTGACAATTTAAGGAACAGGCAGCTCTATATATTATATTGCTATTATTTTTGGGGGTGAAATGACCACTAGTTTTTAATTTTCAAATGAGAACTTATATGAAAAAATGTTTTAAACATAATTTATCTATTTATGGGATTTGTAATATAAATTTCAAGTTTAATAGGTAGTCTTTTCATTCCCAAAAATAAGAGTAGTAGAAAATAATGGTAAAGTAGCATTCAATAACTACTACTCTACTAAATTGTCAAAAAAATAAAAAAATACGGACATGCTTTTGCACGATGGGTGGGCCACCCACCTGTAGGTGAGAAGTTAGAAAGGTAGAGGAGAACTTGAAAGTATATCTTTATTAACGATTAACTATTGCAAACGAAAAACAATTCTGAGTGGTTAATAGTGTTGTTTTGTAATATTTACGAATTTAATTAATATTTCATATAAAATTATCATGAAAAAAAACTACTACATTAAAATCAATTTTTTTTGAAAACTTAACCTATCTTCATGTTAAACTTTCTAGCATTTCGGTTTGGTCTAACAATTTTATCCACAGAGTAGCTACCAAACAAAAATTAACTACTTAAAAAGAAAGAACCTGTGAGGCACTGGTTTGTTATCTCTCCGCCATCCATCCATAATAATGAATAAATTGTATAAATATAAAATAATAAGTTTAATGATATATTATTAATTACAAATGTTTAGGCTTTTTTTAAATATTACATAAATGATAAAAAATGTTAAAAAATGTATCAAAATGTTTAGGCTTTCCGTGATTTCTGAAATTCTGCTATATTTTTTAAAATCGTTTTAAACGGATCACATTATTAAATGTTGATCACTACATAAATTCCAAATAGTACGTGTCTAAAAAATGTCTTATCTATTCTTCTACGTTTTTTGTCGCCTCATTTGGGGCATTTATATCGAACACTTGTGTTAATATATCTTTAAATTCATTTCAAAAATAATATATGAAATAATAACGACGAACGAAAACGTACTGTGATGTATGGTCGGTACATCAGTTACTAATACGAGGTATGGCAGAAAAGTACCGAGATTTTTAAAAAATAAAAGTTTTCGTAGGGACTTGATGATATATGGACAGCAACCTTATAGGTCGTTATAATATAGCAATATTCTTATTATAACTATCACGAACCAACTATTTACTCCGAGAAGTATACACTATTACACTATTATGTAGATTTTTGTTTTTTACATTTTTCCAGTTTTCCATATTGATTGTGCGTTGTCCACTAATCATACAGTTAACATCACTATTGGGATAAATTCATATTATTCGTACTTACCATCACGTAAAAATAATATATTGTTTTATAGTATAGTAAAAATATAAAATAAATACGATCGCGATGTCAATGTGTCGCGTGGTGTGTCAACCGACTGCGAAGGACACGCACATAGCACGTTTTAATTATCAACAAACCGCAGGTTTCTAAGTTTATACACGATTATGCACGATAAGAATATTCTGGGAAGTTTCTGATTTTATAAATATATTGAGATAAATATTCAAATAACGTTGATTCTATTATCGAATCAATTATGTCCATTCGTGGAATGGAAAAACGATAACGTGTAATCGTACTGTGTCGTAATGGGCCGACGCAGCGCTCATCAACCAGAAATCATTTAATTAAAACTCCGATATACGTAAAGTTAATTTGTAGCGTTGTTTTTTTTTTTTTTTCGATTTTTTCCACCGTTTTCCACTACAAATCCGGGTTAGTTTACAATTAAATCAAATCGTTCTTAGCTATTAAGGCACGGTTTCCAAGGCGCGGCTTTCGCGTGAACAGTGTTTACACGTAGTGCCTGTAGACTGGGTTCCAGTGCGCGGCTGCGGCTCGCGACATGAACTGGAGACGAGAGCAGTGTTTATATCGCGACAGCCGCCGGCGACCCGCTTAGTCGAAAATAGTGTTGAAACTTTCGCAGTCGCTGATAGTAGTACATAGTAGTAGACATATAGTATACGCTACCATAATTTAACTAACATTCTAGTATTGAATTATAATCATTATTGCAGTATTGAATAATAATTATAATATTTATTAGATAAAACGTCGGTTGGTTTCCTTTTATTCGGATTTAAATAATTACGTAAAAATAAATTATCTTCTTCCTCCTCTTCTTCAATCGGCCGCCGCGGTTATCCGCGCCTCGGAAACCGTACCTTTCGGCACGCTAAAAATATTGACGTTGCACTTTTTTCGGATGCTTCACACATTTCGACTTTTGAATTGCGCGTTTTTCGAAGCCGCCGGTGTTACCTACTCGCTTTATAATGCTCTTACGCTGATTGTATGCTACGAATATGCACAGATCGTCGGGCGTTCGTATACCTGTATCTACTGTCCGCCGCACCCCGACCCTTAAATCAAGTCCTTTGAAATGTATCGATACGACGACGCGTTATTGTATTGAACTGCAAAAATAATGCAATATTATAATACGCAGGCCTTATAATATTATACAGGGGTGCGACTATTTAACTGTGGTTTTCTGCCTATCTCTCTTTTCCAGAACAGGATTTCCGGGTTTCGCAAAGCGCAATTATCGGTGTTATTACCATCGTCGAAAACTAATTTATCGCACAGGATATTCAGGTGACATTGTGCGTGCGTATAATATGTACATAGGCGAGTACAGTGTAGCATGTACACGCGGTATATGTGTGTATAGTGTATTATATACCCATACGGACGTGGCGTCAAAACGAAAGTCTCGCGGCGGAGTCATATGTCACCATAAATTACCGTGTGCGTTATAAAAATGTATGTGTACGTGTTGCGCACGGTAATTTATTTATAAACAACGATTTCCTAGAAATTGCCAAGGCTCTTGGTAATAATATCATTTTCCAAGCTCCCCGCGGCGCAGGGCTGCTGCCGGTGTAAGTATATGCGACGTACAAATGTTTTGTTCGTAAACGCTCGGCCGTGTTCAGTGTGTTCCGATCAGTGGTGGTGGATCCAGAAGAGAGAGGAGGGGAGGGGAATTCTGGTTGGAGCATGAACGTTCGGTTTTTTTGATTTTCTTTACCTGTTTTTTTTTTTTTTTTATAATCGAGAAAAACTAGCAAACTTTTTTTTTGTAAAATAATTCGGTTAAAAACAATCGTAAAGTTCTGACATTTTCACGGAAAATTTAATTTAGCTTAACTTACTCAAATGTGGTCAAATTTTGAAAACATTCTGACGATTTTTAGGCTATTATTAGACATTTTATATTTTGTAGTATTTTTTTTTTTTTTTTTGGTTTATGTGTTTACAATATTGATCTGGCCGATCGGAAAAATGCTTGGAAATTTTATACGAGGTTCATCATTATAAGATGTGTGTGTATTTTGAGATAAAACAAAAAAAAAAAAACGAAAAAAAATGTAGTGTATTTATATGTACGCGTTTAAAGTTCAAATTTGAATGGAATTGAAAAAATCACGTAATTTCGCGTTCTATGTACAGTGTACATATAAACATTAACAACATGTACATAAACAATTGTTGACTTAGCAGTTTATCCTATATAAAAGGACTCAGTCGGTGGCGGCGGATCCAGACATTTTTTAAATGGGGAGCACATTATTTATATTTTCAGTAAATTAACTATAAATTATTAAAATATTTTATAATAATTTTATACATAATAACTGTAGTCCATTGACAAGGGGGCACGTGCTTTAGTGCCCTCCCTCTAGATCTGCCAGTAGATTCAGCAAAAAATCTAGGGATGAAAATTGCTTCGCAACTAAATTGAAGACCTATGAGCAAAAACAAGGCACCTCCAAAAATGCAATTGTTCAGGAGATACTTAAAACTGTTTTAAAAATTAACAATTAATGTTAGCAAATATATTTCTATATATATAGAAATATATTCTAAAGCAAATTCATTTTTTCTAAGTATTAGCCAGTGAAAAAATGGAAATCTTCGAAGATGTCTTGTTGCATTAAAATAAAAACCACACATTTCCATTTGCTCTTTAATATCTCTGTATTTAACAATCGGATTTGTCTAGTTGTTGCACCAAACGACGCAATATTTTTTTCTTAATAATGTGCAATCAAAAATGGAGATGTCTTGTTGTTGATCTCAGATCCTCAATTATAAAACAAAGAATGCAATATTCGTAAAGAAAAAATTGGAAGTTAAAGAAAATATCCGGAAATCATTTCAAGACATTTCAAACTCTATCTTGTCTGCTCGATCTTTGAAAAGTTTAAAGCAGTTTTCAAGTTAAGAGATGATAGGTCATGAGATAGCTTCGAAGTGAAATTTGCAGTGCACTGAGTACGGTAATTTTCATCAACTTTCTTACCGATTCTAGTACGAAAGGCGTCATCGTTGCGAGCACGTGAGTTGCCTTCTTTGCTTTTTGCCGGAAGTGAGGCTTCTTCGCAAGGCAACTAGATAAGGGACAAACAAATGTTTACTCTACGTAACAATATCCACCGGAATATGATGATTACCTACGTTCAAGACGTCGATTATAAAGTTCACGTGAAAACACGATTCAAAGCATCAATTCAACTACACGAAGATTTTCAAGATACTAGGCGTCTAAAAATAAATTTAGTTTAATCGTTAAATTGTACTCTTAGATCGAATCCGAGGTCACTCCAATGTGAACGATAACCTAATTATGTATATCAAGTATTTAATTGTACTTTCGTAATTTATTGTAAAATATATTTAATCTTTATATTGCATTGTTTTCAAGTAGTTATTTGCGAGTGAAAAAATAAGCTGAGTAAAAATGCTATCATACAAAAAAAAAACCAATTAGTAAAAAAGGTTTTTTAATATTTTAAATTTCCCAATGACCAACTGCTTATATACAAATCTATATATTAAAACAATTAAAGTAATTAAAACATCTAACACATCACTTAATTTTTTAAAAAATACAAATTCATTTAAATTTAACATTATAAAATTATAATAACAAAATGCTAAACAAGATAATTTACAACCAAACTGTCCAAAAGAACCCAAAAAAAAAAAAAAGATAATACAAACCCCTATTATAGAGTAGAAAGTAAAAAACATCCAATGATTATGAAAATTAGTACACGTATAATTATGAAGTACTTGGATTTTGGGGGAAATGTTGAACAAATTTTAATATGCTTTGCACGATTGGAAAAAGTAGTGGAAAAATAGCTTTTCAATTCTCTTCTACAGTAAGTAAAATCTTTAATGGGCAATGGCTAAGTAATTCCCATCTACGGAATATACCCATAAAAAAAAAAAAAAAAAAATTGAAGGCCATAGAATTTAATTCATTTAAAATATTTCCATCAGCTAATGTTGAAGACGTCTAAAATACATATACATATTTATGTAAAAATTGTCATAAAATGTAAATATTACAAGAAAAAAATACAGATATTTTCTAAGTAGGCATTTTTCTTAAAAAAATGTCAATAGACTATTGAAAAAGAGTATAAAATTCTGATTTATTCAGTACTTACTTTTAAGATACTCACTAAAAATTAAAATTATGATCTTAAGTTAAATATTTCAACAAAATCGCAATTTTATTGTTGGATGGTGATAATAATGTAAATATTTGGCACATGTGGCACATTTAGCTGCATGATAACATAAAAAATTATTTATAAAATCGAAGTCAAAGATATTATTAGTTAATCTGCTTATTTATTAAAATTAAAACAAATAATTATTTTGATAGGAAAATTATTGGAGGGAGAAAATAAGTATCCTCTATGAACAATGAAATGGTATTTTCCCACTCCGACGATTTATTTATCCTATTCAAAATGTTATTAAATATTATTTAATTAATGAATATTATTAGTAAATTGGTACTATCATATAAAGAAAATAAAAAAATGGTTTTTTTTGAAATATGTGGGAAATATAGATCCCAAGCTCTGTAATGGGTTGACCCTTACAAAATGTACGTATGAGTAATAAATAAGACCATAATTTTTTCTTCTTAGAGCGGAACGCCTGTATGTACATTTTGAAAAGAAAAGCATGGTAATTTCTATTATTTTTCACATATTTTCCACGGAGAATTTTGTTTCGGTACGCCCGGAATCAACGAAAACTATCGGTCCGAGGTTTACGATTTTCTATTATAAGTAGTAAGTACCTACATATTTTTTTTTTTTACGGTCTGCAGAGCACGTAACGGCGGCAGCGTCCTGTTTGTAACGAAAATCACGTATCTCGTTGGTATAGCAGTCGGACGGCGGATAGGGGCGGAGAGGAAGCGTATTATGATCTAGTTACGTGACGATATCGGAGCCGATCGAGTGACCGCTTTCTACACGGCGGCGACGAACGAGTGAATTTTATTCGTCGGTCACGAGATCACTGGACCGTCGTCATCGTCGGTATTTATATAAATAATATGATATGCGTTTGTGTAATATTATATGTATATACAGGGTGTTTCGGTTACATTGTGTCAATATGTACATTAGATACGTTGTTCAGAGCGACCGTCATTTTAGAGACAATATACTTGTCAGCCCATAAATGTATATTACACTTGTATATCAATACCTAATATAGTATTATAAAACTATCTTTATTTAAATTTAATTAAAATATTATTTGGACATTATATTCGCATATTATTACAGTTCCGTCTTATACCCTGAATCCGACAAGGAAATATAATGTATTCTATTCCGCAAATTTCTGCGCATTTTTATACTAATTCGCTACCGGTTTTACCCTCTTATCCGTAAACAATTTCGACAATTTTTTAAATTTCTACTCAGAACCTATTAAAAATGATTGTTGCTCGCGTAGTTAACGTACATAAACTGCGCGGTTCGTTGTTTATCGAATTGCCAATTTTAAAAAAAAAAATCAAAATACGTTAGTGTAAATTAATTAATTAATTTATAAATCGCAATGTTTTTTTTTTTTTTAAATTTATTTTATATTTGTGTGTATTAATTAATTTTGTGTCGGTAATGTTTTTTTTTGTTAATTTCCGTCTGACATCGGATGATATCCACCTGCCGCGAAGTCTTCCCCTAAGCATGCGGAAGAGTCGTTGACACGAACATTGTACTTTATCAATATATATTTATACTAGTTAGGGGGAAAAACAACAGAACAATATTATTATGTTCCTCGACCCCTTTTGGAGCTTACCTTGTCCGAGTGTACAGGGTGTTTGATGTCTATACTACGTATGGACTATTGTACAGTGTGCACTCGTTTATGGTAACAACGGCAGCAGTTCGTCGCGTGTGCAAGAAATTATTACGAAATCAATTTGCAGCCTCGTATTACAAATGCATAAAAATAGTAATATCCTATTGATATCAATAACACGGTTAACGACGTTGGGTAATAGGTAGTATAAATTGACCTGGGTAAGTGAAGTAGTTTCCGCCATACCTATGACTATACCCGGTTTTGCTGACCAGCTTCAGGTTATACTGGCGGTAATAAACTTACAACTACTAATCATATTTATTAAAAATTCCGAGTGTAGCGACGACGGAGTCATTAGCTTTATTGAAATAGTTCCCCCTCCCTTTTACCCTTGGAAAACCCTTACGATTAGTAAAATTTCTTTGATTTTTGCACTCTATACTTTAAAAGGTGCAGTTGTTTTTTTTTTGTTTTGTAGTAATTAATTTGGAAAATTTTTTTTCGAATTTCCCGATAATTTTCATGAAAATGAAGAAAAAAAACACCGACAACAAATGAGGATAGAACCATTGCGAAAAAAACTGGTTTTTGAATAATAGTCAAAACAGAAAATTATTTAAAAAGTCTCCACAAAATACAAATCATTAAATTATTTTAAAATGTGTTGATATGCTTTTTATAAACTCATAACCTAAGTATTTCACCAGATCTATATACAAGTAAAAATATACATTTTCCATTATATTCCTGTCTTTTTTTTATTTTTTTGAGCATTTTTAACGCTATAAATTTGTACAAAATAATAATTGTGAAATAAATTTTTAAATAATTTTTTACTCGTTTCAATAATAATACAAAAACGATTGCTAAATTTATTTTAAAATGTGTTCAGGTGAAACGGGTTTCGCCCTGTTTGTGTGTTTTCAAAATCTTCACCTCTTTTTTGCATGCAAGAGCGATACAACTTCTTTTAAATTGTAACCCTTATTTCCATCATTACTTACATCACATTACTTATCATTTTATTTTTCTTAAGGTGGTAAAAATGGGATTTCAAACACAATACTTTGTAATAACCATTGTTACGATTTATTACCCAAATAAGGAAAATAAAACAAATTATAATAAACTCACTTTTTTCTTTATTTCTATTTTATATATCGATAAATATCTACCTAGTTAAATAAGAATCATGAGAATTAAGAATTTTTTGTAGTGGACAGATTACGAAAATGTAAGTTTACAGAACTATAGGGGGAAAAGGGTACGCGTCCCACAACCCCTCCAATGACTTACAAATAAACACCTTACTTTTCATACATTTTCTTTTAAATTTACAAAATATTCTAATGCAAATATTAAAATTTAATTATTAGGATTTAATTTTAATTTTTAATTTGTGTTATACCTGTACGGATTGAGCATTTTTTTAATGGGCATTATCCTCTAATTTTCATTTTCACACGATCTTTTAACACTTCGATTACTTTTAATGTATGAAGTTATTTTAATATTAGCACACTTTATATTACGAATTTGTTAAAAGCTAAAAAATATTTATCGAAGAAAATATAAATGATGTAAAAATGATAATCTAGTCACTCAGATAACAATTTAAAATCCAAACAGTCGAAAACATATTTTAATTCGTTAAAGTCCGTTTTAACTCGAGAGTGTACTCTATTTAACTTCATTTACAATGAGCCCTCAACCAAAATGTTACCACATCACATATTAATGTGTATGCAATACTTAAACCTTTAACAAACCTTTATTTATTATTGGTTCCATAAACTGTGCTTGATATCGGCCGTAACGGACCGCGGACAATAATAATGTCGGTTTCGACCTATGATCTCCACGCCACTGCACACTGGTCTTTTTTTATTGTACGCTTATACGAAGACTGACGAGAGGTGACAGCGGCTGACTCTCTCTATACTCGCAATCCGTTTACATGCATTAATAAAATATTATGAATTCATCGGTCGAGACGAGTCGTGCGCATTCTGGCCTCTGCGGCATAGCGGGTTCGTCGGCACGTATAATAATTGAATGTGCGGTTTCATTGGCGCGCGAGCACGTGCAGTGTACACTGTACACACGGAAAACCGTATAGGTATAAAACGGTCTGGCACGTGCGCATTTAATAGAGTCGTAACACCGAACCGCGTTCGCCAACAGGAAACAAACCGTTCCGGTTGTTTATTATTATTTTTTTTTTTTTATGAATGGGTGACCGTTCCCGGTATACTCGATACGCGCCCGTTTCCCGATCGAGCGAGTTTCGTTTTATGTGAAATTTTATTGGAGAAGAGGGCTTGTTTCTCTTCACCCCCACTCCCTTTTCATCATTTTATTGACAATGATTTGTCAAAATGATACAATATTATAATAATAAACAAAAAAATTACCTACATTGTAATGTAAAGTAAGTATTTTTAAAATAATAATTGTAAACGCATATTTTCTTTGGACTGTACCTCTAAAACACACTTTTGGTTAACATTAATAGGCACATCTTCCTATATTTAGAATACGACAAAGACGCAAAGCGATCTCAACTTATAGTTGATCGTATATAACAATAAATATTAATTTTAAGTAAAATATCGTAACAATCAATTAACGCATAATGACATAAAATTGTTGAAGGGGCGGTTAAGTTCTCTCCCCCTCTTTAAATACGCCTATTAGTTTTTACATGGTATATTACAGTAAAATTCATGCAGTTTTCGGAAAAATAAAAACTCGTGTGGTATATCATTACGTTATAACTTGAACTTGTCAGTTATTTAATTTTTAATAAGTTTAAATTTGAAAAAGAAAGGTAAGATAATGGGGACGGGTGCAGCCACGAGTGTAGATGAGAAGGTAGGATAAAGACGGGAATTTAATGTATATCTGTAAGTAATGATAAGCCATTGCTAACGAAAAAACAATTCTGATCAGAGTTCAATTGTTAGTGATACTTTGTCAACAATATATATATGTCATTTTAAAGTAAAATAGTTAAATAGGCTCTTTTCTTTAATAATATTTGTTTAATGTTGTACCGATTTCCTTGGTCTTCCTACGTTTTTGCTGGTTTTCCCGTTTTTTTTTTCGGTGTTTCACATTTGTTAAAAAAACTCTGAATAAAATCGAAAAACGATTTCTCTGAAGAACTTCGTCAGTGAAATTTCCTTTTAGAAAAATTGCTATCATTAAAAGTTTGAACAAAATTGTTGGTATAAAACTTGTTTACAGAAAAAAAAATAAAAATCTTTGTAAAACCGTAAGTTTCTTCGTTTCACTCAGAATCTAAAATACATATTTTCCATATTTTTAATTATAGTTAGTGTTAATTAAATAGTTTTGTTTTTAGTTATAAATGTCGATTTTATTTTTTATTTTTTATTGAAATTTTGAACGATTTGATTTCAATTAAATTTCAAATTAATTTATAAATATTTACCTCAAACTAACGACCAATACAGCTATATAGTTGTTATACAGGTAGTATACGGTCTATACGTAATAGTTTTAGTGCTTTTGTGTCAAATTAGTGATAATCATACATAAATGTAGAATCATTATTTTTAATTGTAATATTTTGTTTACCAGCCATATTATTATTATTAGTACGTTTATTTTGATTTTTTAAACATTATTATGAAATACGTACCAAACTAATAACATAATTTTAACACAGTCGTAAAGAAGACCATTATAATATGAAGTGGTTTTACTCATAGAACTATGAAACGTGTAACGTATAAACATTAAATATGTAGGTATATTATAAGAAAAAAAACGGACAGACTTGAAATAATTTAAAACATATTATGGGTGCTTATTATATGAATAATAAAATTGACATTAACAACATTTGTAAATTATGTTTAAGAAGCATTTTCAACCATTTTAGTTAAATTAAATAAGAATTCTGAGTCCATAAACATTGGAATAAAAATCTATTGTAGTATGTATTATAGTAATACATTTTATTACTCATATTAGGTTCGTATAAATGTCATCAAAACGATACATGATTTTGAATAAACCATTCAATTGAAAACTGCCGTTTTAGGTAGCTAAAAGTTAACAAACATTAATCCCTAATCAATTTCATTATCAGAGTATTTTAAGTGTAAAACATTATGAGAACAATTAAAAGTCTGTATACAATTAATGTCGTCTTGAACGATTTGAATACAATATTCTTTACAGAATATTTACTGTATTAAAGAAATTAAGGTATGAAACTTAGTTTTATTTTAATTTTTTTTTTGTCAACATTTTTACAAACTTTTTTCTACTAGAAATTACCCTCTCAAAAAAAGAAAAAAACCCTTCCTTTTTACTCAAGACAAAACAACGCTAACACAAATTGTGACTATTCGTTGACAGACTTCCTGGAGCTTAATCGTAACGTATTCCGTTTCCGTATCGTATATTTTTTTTGACTAGAAAAAAAAAATTTTAAATAAATAAAATACGCTCGTTCTATAGTCTATATTATAAACCTACTAGTCTGATCGATTAAGTCTTAAAAAAACCGAATTTAAAATAATAATAATAAACCGGTATTTTATTTGACTGGCCTGCTTATGTACCATTATAATTTATAATATTATATTATATGATCATTGAATAAACATCATAAAAACGCATTTGAATCACTAAATAAATTACATTTCGTCGATTATATATTGTATACTTTTTTTTTTACATGAAATACATACATATTATTATTTTTTTTTTTTGGCATACATAAATTTTTTACCATATACTCGCATTCTTTAAAAATATTATAATATTATATTATAACGCGACCTTCGTTGTCTATTCGTGCGCACCACTCGCGCTTGTACGATAATATTTAAATAATGTCCATGCAATATGTATTTTTTTTTTTAATTATAATATTTCAGTAAACATTAAAATATTAAATCCTTAGTTTTACCGTCGTTTATGAGGGATTAAGCATTATATTGATAATTTGTTTCCGTCAATTGTTGCATAAATATATGTACACGACTATAATAATACTTAAATAAATAACCAAACAAA